AGGTAAAAAATAAAAAAGCTAGTTTTTAAATTCACTAGAGAAACATAAAATAACAAGATTTTTAATTTAAACTGTTTTTTAAGTTTTCTCTTCAAAATGTAATTTAAAAAGTAATTTATGTGTGTTTGGGCGTGCGTGCGTATGTTCTTACATAAAAATATGCACTAATAATTTAAATGTAAACATATATTGTTTAAGATATTGGATATTACTCACCAACTGATTGTATTTTTATGTGAGTACAATCTATGCAACCTATTACTCTTGGGAATCGTGCAATATCAAAAAACTTGATCTGTTCTTTCTTTATTTCCTCAGCAAGCATAGGAAACTTTATGAATCTTGGTCTAAGACGAGCGATAGCATTTGTCACCCGATGAATAATTCTGTGAGAGCTTGTTTTGCTCACTCCAGAAAAATCTGCCGCTGATAATAAATGATTCCCAGTTGCATAGAATCTCAATGTCAGAAGAAGCTGGTTCATTGGAGATATGGCATTGTTTCTTGTAAACAAAAAACAATTTTACTATAATTCATATTAATCATTTTGTCTCTTGTTTATTTACTTATGGTCAGAATGTAAAGGATATTATACTAAATATATTGTGTACTTGAACATATTATTAACATGATCATAAATTTGTTAATAATAATAATTAATTATATTATATTATTGATTTGGTTGAATTTAACACTTGACTTTTATGTGCTTTTTGCTACTTCGTTCTGTTGTAACATGTATCTGTCAAAGTACAAATCCAATTATATTTCAAATCAATTTTCTATACTTACTGTTCTGTTGCATGAGAAATTTCCTGTTCGATTTCTGTTAGTACTGCAGTAACAGATTCTTTTGACAAACGAAATCGCGCATGAAAATCAATATCATCGAATTCCTCAAAATAAGATGGTCGTCTTCTTATATTTTTCGGACGTCGATTTATTATTTCCATAAAATCTTCATCTTCGGAACATATCACATATTCCAAAGCCATACTTCTCACCAATTGTGTTATTTTCAAGGAACATTCACTAAATTACAACACCCCACAAACATAACCCTGAAAAGCTGGATGGAATAAATTTTCACGCTAAAATCAGTGTCGCTGCAGTATTAAACTTCGTTTATATTCCTTAAACGCCCAAAATTCGACGTTTAACTTTAACCGCAGAAAATCGATGTTAACTGAAGTTTAAGGCAGTGTGGAACGCAACATTTTCCTTAAACCAAGTTTAACGACTTGAACTTCGATTAAAGCAAGTTGTGGAACCGGGCCTTATAGTTACTACCATGTTTCTCCGTTTAAGGGGATCCAAAAGTGACGGCCGAACTCCGACGGGTTAGCGCCCTTATCCAAGCGTAACTAAAATTATCGATAATACCGACCGAAATTATCGATAATATCAATAATTTTAGTTTCGCTGTTACCGATATGAATATTTTTGCATGTTCTATGCATATTTGAAAGAGAATTGTGTTCAATATGTTGAAATCGGACAACATCGTGTATTTCTACTGCTCTTATTGCCTCGCACGCATATCTAAGCGTATTTAAGCTTATAGATAACAGTATAATATAGACGTGTCTGCCTTTATCACATATTTGAACATAGTTTCACATTGTTCATACGGGCTATGTGTCTTCCCATATATCTTCCAAGAGGAATAACATTTGGTTAGGTGTTATATATATAATTGTGTATATATATGTATATGTATAATATGTACATAGACGTATACAGATGTATGTGTGTGATATATATACATATATTCTGAATATTATCATGTAACTTTCTATAAGTTGCGATCTATGCAATGCAGCTAATTTTTTTCAATCGATATAATCAATGGATATATAACAACAATGTATTATTTATACAAATATATATTATATTGTCTTTTTTTTTGTTCGTATACATAAATGTTTATATATTTGTAATAAACATTTATAATACATTGTTTGTCTCCAGCTCAGCTCACGAATTGATCGCCTCTGGCATATATTTTTTAACACACATGCAAATTGCATCTAGTGTGAAATAACAACCAGCTATTGATCGCTATGCAGCTAATGTTTTTCAATCGATATAGTCAATGGATATATAACAACAATGTATTATTTATACAAATATATATTATATTGTCTTTTTTTTTGTTCGTATACATAAATGTTTATATATTTGTAATAAAGATTTATAATACATTGTTTGTCTCGATCGCAACAGAATAATATATCGCCTCTGGCATATATTTTTTAACCAAAGCGAACACATTTTGTGTATTTTGTGTCAAATATTCTTAAAACAACCAGCTCACGAACTGACCGCCTCTGGCATATATTTTTTAACACACATGCAAATCGCATCTAGTGTGAAATAACAACCAGTTCACGAATTGATCGCCTCTGGCATATATTTTTTAACCAAAGCGAACATGCAAAACGCATTTGGTGTCAAATATTCTTAAAACAACCAGCTCACGAACTGACCGCCTCTGGCTAATTAACTACTGTAGCACTAACTACTATTATAAAATACAAATATAATAAATTTTCAATAAAATATCAAAATGAGCAAAAGACTGCGTTCTTATTTTTCAGAGATTTATGTTATATATTCGGCATTACTTATATATATACACTGTGTGTACACACACGTGCGCGCACACACTACCGGGCGCACGTCGGTGAACCGCGCTGTAGCTGTAACAGCTGAGCGCTCACGCACACTACCATGCGCGCGGCTCATCGACGTGCGCCCGGCTATAGATCGGCGATGATTGACTTGTGTATATACAGGGTGTCCGGTAAA